CTTTCCCTTCACCGGATATCTGGTGTCTCCCAGCCTTTAACTTGATTCCAAACACACTTGGTTTTGCAAAGCTTTTCTTGTCCCCTTTGTTTTGTTGATCACACAACAGTTCCACTTTTGAATGCTGCATGCAGAAGTGAAGCCATAATTTTTCATAAAACCATTGAAAAGCAGGGATGGAAGGGACTCAAGGAACCTCTTGCTCAAGGAAGGGTCATCCCTATCCAAGCCATACTAAATACTTATATAAGCTATTCTGAAAACTACACAACAACTCCGTCACACAAGGCACATTACTCCAAAACATCAAGACATTCTTATCTGCCACACGTAAAGCAGGGGTACAAGGGAACTATGAGGTTGTTAAAATAAATGAACCTGACCATTCAATCCTGCATATGCATATATCTCCAAACACATGAATGATGCCACTGACTAAAAAAGCAGCACCCACCAATCTATATTTTGGATCAGAGCTTAATCTTTTCAAAACAAGTTTACAAATTGCTCTTTTAATATGGGACTCATCTTGCAAGGTCATTAAGTGGGCCTAATCCTACTTCAGCTGGTGTTGAAGGTGTTTAACATTTCACAGGGCCATGTTCTTGTACACAAAAACAAGACCATAACTGCACATGCAAGAACATATCATTGCCACATGAAGAAATACAAACAGGATACCACGAATATAAATGGTCTTGGTGGTGTTTAGGTATACAAGGATGGATTCTCCCTTCATAAGTGTCAGTATAAGGGCCTTGTTACAAGTTGCACTTTGAGCTGCTCAAATGTTGATCAGTGTAAGTTCTAGTTCGAGTTTCGAGCAGACACCTTGAGTGTTTTTACGTGCTCCGAGACTTGGGTGCTCTAACTAGAGCACTCCGAGAGCTGCTCCAATCAAAGCTCCCACAGTATCTAGTGTATTCACCATCCCCATGCCTCAAAATGGTGGTGAGGGTGCTCCAACCAAACTTTGTTGAATGAACTTTAGTCAAAGCATTCCGCCCCCACCACCACCACCGTGAAGCGTGGGGGTGCTGAACACATGATACATGGAGGCTGTTGGAATGCACTAATTAGCACTTGTCAACAGGCTCAATCAATCAAGTCTGCTCTGACACACTAATTACAGCACACTGGAGTAGTATCCCCGCACATCTACAGGCACCCCTCAAGGTTAAAAACCTTCTCTGACTGTCCCCTGCCTGCACAGCAGTGACTTGCCACTAGAGGACTGGCAAGCAGGCACCTGACTAGGAGCTACAGCTGTGAGTTACCATTACAGGCTGGTGATCCAGGACAGGCTTCTATCCCTGCTGTAGGTAGGGATGTGCGAGAGATTAGTCTGCAGGGAGGGGAGTGGAGGAGGAGGGTGGGAACATGATGCTGGGAGGTAATGAAATGGCAAGTGGAAAAAAACTGGGGGTGGGGAAGTGTGGTGAAATGAAGGAAGTCACTCACTGAGGGATAAAATAAAATGAAGCAAAAAAAATAAAATAAAATAAAGAAGGTCTTGTGTTAATAAATGGGGGTTGGGGTGTCTGGGGAGTGCTGGCTGTGCTTCCCAGTGTTGCTGGGAGGTGGGAGCAGTGAGGAAAGGTTGCAAATTCTTCCAGGTTATATGAATGTGTATACACAGCCAGAGATGCAATCAAACTTAATTCCCTCTGCCTCTCCTCTCCCCCAAACAAATATGGTAGAGTGGTCAAAAAACCATGCCTAGTAGAGATACTTGGAGAAACACAGTTTTAAGTTAATCTTCTGGATTTTCTTAAACTACAATGATGTTGCAGCAGACAGCAGTGCAGGATTTGGCCCTGAAAAAAAAAAAAAAAAAAGTTGCTTTAACAGATGTACATTTGTTTTTCCAGCTACCTACAACCATTTATGGCTAAAGAAAATTAAACTCCTATAGCTTTGCATTGTGCCTTCTACTTCAAAATGTTAATTAACATGGACATTACAGGATATTAGGAAGTCTGCAATAATTCCAGGTAACTTAGTTTTACTGTTTACTTTGGAAATAGTATTTGTGTTCTTATTCAACAATTACAGGTTAGTCACGAAAGAACAGTGAGCTTCCAGTATGCAAGCAAATAAAAAGCAAAAGCTAATGTTGTGTTCTCTCCTTTTATGCAAGGACTTGAATCCAGCACGCTATCATCCAAGCAAATTTTTCCCCATAGCTTGATATGGGCATCTTCTCATTCTTTGAGCCACAACAGAGCAAGATAATTTTTGAGCAATGTGCTGAAACAATGTTCTTGACTGGTATCCAACCAAATTTCCAAAATCAAGATTTTTCTGTTACTGTTATTCTTTCCATCTATCCATTTAGCTATCCTACACACATCTGTATATATATTGTTTACACACACACACACACACACACACACACACACACACACACACACACACACACAACATGATCTTGCTGCACAAAAACTCTGGGTGTCAGAATCTAGTCCTAATGAATAGCTCTATGTAGTGTTAATTCCCATTTGGAATCCATAGACTGCAGTACCACAGGGAAACATTCTCTACCCTTGCTCTTTATGGTTTCTGTCTTAATGCAGTTAGCTTTCCAATAGCAGTGTAACTAAGCAACGAGGAGGGTTAATGGGGGGTGAACAGGGCATCAGCTCCAGGTACTGATTTAGGAGACACCAGTATGGCGCCCTTCCCCCCAGGGGTCCTAGCCAGCCCTGTGCAGCCCAGTCATAGAAGATGGATAGATGCAGCCCCATGGTCAGTAGTGTATCTGGTAGGGGGAGGGAAGTGGAATGATGCCTCTCACCTGAGAAGAATTTGCTATAGGAGGCATAACCCCTGGGGTGGGAGGAAAGGGAGAAGCAAACAGGGCACTAGGAGAAGCCAATGCTGCTGCCTGTCCTTCAGAGGCAGCAGCCTAAACCTGGTACAGTAGCAGCCGCAGCAGTAACAGCGCACTGCCTGAAAGACAAGAGCCAGGGAGGTAAGACTCCTCTCCTGCTTCTCTCCTTCCCTCTTCCCCCTGCCTCCAGCAATCAACACAATTCCTCCATACACACCTCTGCCCTGAATAATGAAAGAATATGCTATTCCTTCTCTTTCTAGAGCTATAGGTTGACAAGTAGAGAAGATAAGACCTGGATATACAAAAGGAACTTACTGCAGTGCCCAAAACGTTTTATCTATAGACTATTTAAGCATAAAATACATGTACTGTTCTTGCACTGGACTCTGGACTGCCCCATCTCAGGTCAGCAAACACCAGCAGGCTAGAGGAAGTCATGCTCTTTCTTGTTCCCACTCTCTATATGGAAGAGAGAAAAGTGAGAAGAGCTGAAAGAGAAGGATTTGAGATATTAAGCTCTTCTCTGCACCAGAATAGCCAATAGCTTTGCATTTAGGGAACTGTTCTTCACACTATAAGGGTGGGAACACAACCCTCAAGCAGAGGGAACTGATCAGTCTTACACTTTTCTGGCCAAGTGCTCTAACCACTGGGGTTTTGGATGAAAAGGAAGAAAGGGCACTGGTAGTACCAGTAACTACGCTTTCAAAGAAAATACCAGCTGCTGCAACAATGTGGAGTATGATCTAAAAGATGTGCTCTAAAAACATTTATTGGTTTGAGTCCTGGAAGGAGAAGCAGGGAAGGAAACTTTAGTTGGAGCTTCCAAGTAGATCTTAGGCATTAAAGTGGTGCCAAGCTGCTAGTCTCCATTAAAACTGAGATATTGCTGGGTATGCTAGATGGTAGGTGCTTACAGAATTTAAAAATGTCAGAAACGGAGTGTAGGTGAAGATTTTACTATTCATATTTTGGGCACCTAAATCCCACTGAAGTCCCATTTTGGGCATTTGGTTTCAAATCCAACAAAACTGCTTAATGCTGTCCTAATGTATCAAAATGGGTCAATAACAAATAAGCAGCAGTCCTGACCTCCATTATGCTGAAATATCTCGTTATTTATAGACTGCAATGATACAGACATAGTTTAACTATAACAAATGCACAGGTGTAATCCAAAAGGTACTATTTACTCTGTGCTTTACAAAGATCATCATGCAAAAGGGCAATTTGCCCTTCACCAATTTATAGTATGGCAAAGCCACCCTTCTTTGTACAGTATGGCAAAGCAACCAAGTACAAACATTATCTTGACTGGCTTCAGTTTTTCAATCAGCTAGGTCACAAACAAAACCCAAGCCAAACTGAATGCTACTCCAATGCTCATGGTCATAGTCTTGTGTTTTTGTTTACTTTTGTTAAGTGAAAACTGGGAATGCTAATCTGTGTTAGTGTTAGCTCAAATTAAAATACTACATTAGATTTCTTAAGCATTTTCTTCCCCTTCCAAAAAAATTAACAGCTACATAGGTTAAAACAAGCCAAACAGATAGTGGTTTGAAATCCAAATTATGAATCATTTCAAGTTTTTCCAGTCAGTTCTATTTACAGTTGCAACCCCAGAGGCCTATTTTGAAGATTTAGTCAGTACAGCATTCTAAAAATATAGAACCCTGTATAAATATTAAGGAAATGGGGTTGAATGGCGTTCCATTTTTAGCTTTCATATAGCATTTGGTCTTGCCCATTCTGATTTTGTGGAGGCAATGTACAAAATTGCTGTTCAACTCTACCACGTGACTAAAAACCCTTAGCCACTAAATCTGTGAATCTGACTTATTTTCTGTAGCACTGCTATCAGTGTCATAAATTGATTCTGTGACTTTCAAAGTTTTGGCTGAATCTCATTAACAAGAAGTAATCGTAGGCATTTATTTACTGTGTAATCATCTTAAAACATACCCTTATTTAACCTCTACTGTATCTATGTAACAGGTTAAAGGACTTCTAGATTTCTATTCTGCTGCTAAAGCCATCACATTTTTCAGCATGGCAACTGTGAAAATATTTTGCAATAATCTACAGTCACTTGGATTAGAACTAATGGGGATGCACTGACATAGATATTCTGGGGGGTGTTATCTTTACTTTTGGGTTCTTTATTCCATTAATATTCTCTCACTGATGCTCACTAATCACCAGAGAAACCATGGTCCAAAAGCCTAACCATGTCCAAAAGCTTAATTGCTCTAATAAACAATATATATCACACATATATCACACTCACACCCCCCCCAAACCCTCCCCTCCTTAGCATATGCCAAGAGCAGAACACACCTCTACCAAAGATGTACCTTTTCCACTAAATTAACACTCATGAGTAATTCCACAGAGCTAGATAGTTTTTTGTGGAAGGCTATCATAAAGGATTAAGCAGGTTTGAAATGGCCTTGTGTGCTCCCTCTATGAAGAAATACATTTCACCTAGTGTATGCATCATTTTCTATGACACGAGGTGGGATTAGATCATTTAGCAGGCAACTAAAACCTGGGAGGTAGTGGTAAGGCAAGAGCAGCTTGTGCAATAGAGGAACTGTGAAGAAAGTTTTTACCCAAGGACAAGTCATGCTTGACCAACCCGATTACCTTCTATGGTGAGATAACTTGCTCTGTGGATTCAGGGAGAGCAGTGGATGTGATGTACCGTAACTTTGGCAAGACTTTTGATACAGTCTCCCATAACATTCTCACAAGCAAGCTAAGGAAGTGCAGGTGGATGGAAAACTGGCTGGATCATTGGGCTCAAAGGGTAGTAATCAATGGCTCTATGTCTAGTTGGCAGCTGGTATCAGGTAGAGTGCCCAAGGATTGGTCCTAGGGCCAGTTTTATTCAATATCTTCATCAAGGATCTGGAAGATGGGATGGCATGTACCCTCAGCAAGTTTGCAGATGACACCACGTAGATACACTGGATGGTAGGGCTAGGATTTAGCGAGACCCAGACAAAATGGTAGAGTGTATCAAAAGAAATCTCATGAGGTTAAATAAGGACAAGTGCAAAGTCCTGCACTTAAGACAAAACAACCCCATGCACGGTACAGGCTGGGGACCAACTGGCTAGGCAGCAGGTCTACAGACATAGACCTGGAGGTTACAGTGGACAATAAGCTAAATATGAGCCTAACAGCATACTGGGCTGTAAGTAGGAATGTTGTCAGCAGATCAAGGTAAGTGATTCTTCCCCTCTCTTTAGCACTGGTGAGGCCACATCTGGAGTTGTGTCCATTTTTGGGCCCCCCACTACAGAAAGGATGTGGGCAAATTGAAGAAAGTCCAGCAGAGGGCAATAAAAATGGTTAGGGTGCTGGGGCACATGACTTCTAAGGAGAAGCTGAGGGAACTGGGCTTATTTAGTCTGGAGAAGAGAAGACTGGAGGGGATTTAATAATAGCCTTCAACTACCTGAAGGGTGGTTTCAAAAAGGATGGAGCTAGACTGTTTTCAGTGGTGGCAGATGACAGAACAAGAAGAAATGGTCTCAAGTTGCAATGAGGGAAGTTTAGGTTAGCTGTTAGGAAAAACATGATAACTAGGAGGCTAGTAAAGCACTGGAACAGGTTACCCAGAGAGATTGTGGAATCTCTATCCTTTGAGGTTTTTAAGACCTGGGCAGACCGTGTGGATACCTCTAAGAGTGTTACATATAAGTTTTTACATTTGCCCAGAGATTACAGGAGGGAAAAGCAGACCAGTAGGCTAAGAAGGCTCTCTAAATAAACAAGCATTATTCATTTCATAAGTTTAACTCCTTGGTCTTAAGAGAACAACGCATGGTACCAGGATCGGGATGAAAAAAAAGAAAAAAAAAAAAAATAGTCTCTCTCAGAATTCCTGAGGAGTTAAAGCTGTCTAGCAATACAGTAGAAAACTGGAATAATTTTAAGCAGAGCTTCACCATATATATGATGGATAGTGGAGCTATAGAAGAGGAATATCCACTCAAGGTAACTATTAAAAAAAATATATATAGCAGGCCCATAGAGGCTGTCTCTCTTTATAATAGCCACGCCCGCACTGGGGCTTCTCAATAGCCCCCTCTCTGGGGCTGGGGTCTATGCACCCCGTACGCTGCACCCTTTCTGGCGCTGGGTCCCCATGCTACTGTGGGTCCCCTATGAGGCCTCCTCCAACTGCTGATAGCCTCACCCAAACCACCGGTGTAACAACAACAAAGCAAAACACAAGCCCCTAGGCTGTAACAAAACTTAAAGACGCCTGGCTAAAACCATGTTGCTCAGACATCTTAGAGCTGCCATCCTTTACTCAGCTTAAGCTGTACCTGCGGTTAGGCTTCTTCTCACATCCTGGCCTAGGAGCTCCTGCCTCTCTGGCTGCTGGCAGGGGCCTACCCTCACCTCAGCTCCCGGGCTTTATAAGAGCCAGGCCCTGCCCCTTATAGCCAGCTAACCGCTGGCAGGTGTGGGTCGTTTGCTGACTCCAGTTGTCCTGGCAACCAACAGCTGGGCTCCTTATTCACTGCTAGGGCTTTTTCTCTAGCAGTTTCTCCTCTTTAGGAGCAGGGCACCTCAGTGCTCTGCGACATACACACTAGGAAAACATCTATTTATTGCAGATATGTTGCCCAGAGTTATTACACAATGGAAAATGAGAGAATTCCGGACTCAGACATAGTACATGTTAATCTAATTAAAAGAATGATTCCTGTTACAGATAAAATGTGGGAACTAATTGTAGAAGCTACTCCTCAGGACACCACATTGCAAAAAGTGATAACAGCTATTTGTGCTGGTTAACCTGAAAAACATACACCTAGCCCCTACTCTCAGTTCAAGGAAGAGCTATCAGTACTGAATGGCATTTTGTTCAAAGGCTCATGACTTGTTCCAGCAGTGCTAAAGAAAGACATGTTAAGCAGAACACATGAGGGGCATCTAGGCACTGAAAAATGCAAAAAGATAGCATTATTTATATTGGCCCAACATAAATAATGATACTGTAAAGGCTTGTACAATGTGCCTAAAGTACAGATCAGTGCAAAGAAATGAGCCCATGATGGTCATGGAGGAGCCTGTAGCTCAATGGTATGAAGTGGACATTAACTTATTCATACATGCAAAAAAAAAATACGTATTAGTGCTGGATTATTTATTTTCACTACCCTGAAACTGCATTGCTTGAAAGCACAACAGCAAAGCATGTCACAACTCACATCAAATCAATTTTTGCTAGGCATGGGATTCCAAAAATTGTGAGAACAGACAATGCACCTCAATTCAACTGTCTTGAGTTACATAGTTTGCAAACAAATATGGATTCTGCCACAACACTTCAAGTCCTAAATACTTACAATCCAATGGTCTGGTGGAAAATGGAATACAGATATGAACAGCAAAGCATGTCACAACTCACATCAAATCAATTTTTGCTAGGCATGGGATTCCAAAAATTGTGAGAACAGACAATGCACCTCAATTCAACTGTCTTGAGTTACATAGTTTGCAAACAAATATGGATTCTGCCACAACACTTCAAGTCCTAAATACTTACAATCCAATGGTCTGGTGGAAAATGGAATACAGATATGGAAGAAATTGTTGAAAAAAGCTACAGATTCACACACTGATGCTTACCTGTTGTCGGGACCCAGGGCAGCCAGCCAGCAGCTCTCCCTGACTCCCACCCGGGCAGTTATGGGTCCGGGGCCTTAGAAGGCCATCAGGCGGGTACTTGTGATGCTTGGAGTGGAATTAATTAGGCGGACGCTTATCGGTTGTAAAGCAAGATTATTTACTCACGCCGCCAAGGTGGTGAAGGACGGAGGTCAAAGATATTTGGTTAGTTATAGCTTAAAGGTCGTAGGTCGGTCTGCATAAGAGTTCGGTGGTCGGGCAGAGAAAAATGTTCGGGCCGGCAGGTCGTCGATTTACGTCTGAGAATTGGGTCGAGACGGGGGAAACTGACAAGTGATCAATTTGTCAGTTACTCTCACGCATACGTTCAGAGGTTTTTCAGGTGTGTGCGCAGAGGTCTCCCACTTCACGGAAGTGAAGACGGGTTTTATTTGTGTAATAGCCAATTGCTTTTCGCCACATCATAAATTTAATTAGAATCACCAATTATCTAGAGGTCTTTGCTAGGGTGTTATCGTAAGGTTACTCCTTGTTTTTTCTGACCAATTATAATGATTTATGTACAGCACAGAAGGCTAAGCTCTATTTTATGTTGGTGTCGCAGTTATAAATTTATTTGGCATGCTCAGGAAAAAAAGCGGTTACTATCATTATTGTTAACCCTTAGTTAACCTAGTGCAGAAAAAACCTGTTTTGAATGGTTTTACTTGCTTGTGACATGGGCACTACTTAATTTGGTTGTGACATGCCCCCTTGCCCATGGACCAGCAAGTTACATCATGTTTATGTATAGACCATTTTGTTTATCATTGTTAGTGTTTGGCAAGCGGGTGTATACAAAAGCAAAAAGCGTGGTTAACTTCGTTTTGAGATACTGTAAAATCCAACAACTAAAACACACAAATATAACAATGGCTATTATGATTAATGGTAAACACAAGATAATCAAAGACGCCGACACTTGAATTAACTTAAACGCAGTAAACTGTTATCCTTGACTTTATATAATATTTTTTAATTCGATTTTTTAAGGTAACTGAGAGTAAGGTATCAGATTAATACCCCCTATACGGAGGGTTTTTAAAATTGTGGCTTATTATACTTGAGTTAAAACATAGCTCTAAAAACACCGATTTTCTGTGCCGTTATTAGCGGCCTTTCTTCATTTCTTCTATTGTCACCTCTCTTCCCAAATCGTTCCTTTTCCTCTTCTTTTAATGTACAGGTTCCTTTAGAACCTTGACTACTTGCCCCCTTCCATCATCATCTCCCTCATCTCTTTCCTCACGTTCCCTCAATCAATGTTTCTGTCCACACCCGACCTTTCTGCGACATCCCCCAAACCTTCAGACTACCAATGCTGTTCTCTCTCAATAATTCAGAGCTTTTCACTCAAAACATTATGATTTGGCTTCACTGCGTAAAGTCTCGAACAGGCTTTAAAACAAAACAAAACAAGTATGTACAAGATCATTAATAGGAAAAAGAAAAACCATAAAATGAGTCATTAGTTATGTCTTTGGCCTAAAATGACAGAAGGTTCAGGACCGAGTTGGAGGTTTCGAAGTTAGCTCCGACCTGTTAGTAACAGCAGGAATAGAGCGACGACCTTGCTTGCGACATATGAGCAGGCGGCCATTGTGGCGTCGACCCGGGTGTGCTGCAGGTTGGTGCTTGGTGATTCTCGTGATCGGGCAGTCACAGATTGCCGCTTCGTCACTGCTGGGCCTGTAAGGGGACAAAACAAATGAACAGACAAACGAACAAAGAAAACTAAAAAACAATAAAATTGTCTTTTGTATATCTACGAGCATAATGTCATAGTGGTTGGAATAGTTCATCGATGCCCCCTTCGAGTAGTTGCTTGTTGGGGCAGGCTGCGGTGTTATCCGGAGTGCGCTGTTAGGAGTTGGTGCCTCCGGAGCCTGGACCGGTTGGCGGGATCGGTCGAGGTTGGTAGCCTAGTATATGTGCCAGTTGTCGTTGTCCCGCATTTTCTAGGACATGTAGCCATTGTTTGGTAAGCGTGAAGTGGTTTAGGAGGAACTCAAATATGGCTCTTTCCTCCAGCGTCCTCTGGGGTGGCAGTCTTGATTCCTTTCGTGAGTTGAATTGGGAATGTCTTGGCCCTTGGTATTCAACTGGATATGCAGTAAGGTGGCTTGGGGCGACGGCTGAGTTTGCAGTTGCTGATTTTATAAGGGCTTGTAGTCGTGGAAGTTGACTTAAAAGATTTTCTGTTGGCTGAGTAATGAGCAGGTTGAGGAGAAGGCGAAGGGTGATGGTGTCCTCTTCTCCATAAATCTCTATGGGGCGGGCTTGATGGGTGGAGTCCCGCCTGTTCTTCTGTGGCTCCGCCCTTCTTTTCCAGGTCCTCCGGGCAGCTCATATTTTTCTCGGTGCCATTTTCTGGTGGCGACGGAGGGTTTTGTCACGTTGCCATCTCCGCAGCAGCTTTGCTGACTGTAGCTAACTGGTTTTTTAAGTTTGCATTTTCACGCAGTAGGAGTGACACTACGTTAATCATCTTTCCTTTGTCCCACTCGGAGCTTGCCCACTCCTTTTCGACTCCCTCCTTTCCTTTCAGTGAGAAGTAGCTGCTGACGCACCCTGTCTCCGCTCCGCTCGCTTGGTGATAAGCGATGTGAGCCCATAATTCATCCGCGTTATCTACGCGGCACCCCCCACTACACCAGGGGCAGTTCTTAATTAATTCCACCTCCATCACTTTTCCCCTTGATCCTGTTCATGACGCCATGTCGGGACCCAGGGCAGCCGGCCAGCAGCTCTCCCTGACTCCCACCCGGGCAGTTATGGGTCCGGGGCCTTAGAAGGCCGTCAGGTGGGTACTTGTGACGCTTGGAGTGGAATTAATCAGGCGGATGCTTATCGGTTGTAAAGCAAGATTATTTACTCACGCCGTCAAGGCGGTGAAGGACGGAGGTCAAAGATATTTGGTTAGTTATAGCTTAAAGGTCGTAGGTCGGTCTGCATAAGAGTTCGGTGGTCAGGCAGAGAAAAATGTTCGGGCCGGCAGGTCGTCGATTTACGTCTGAGAATTGGGTCGAGACGGGGGAAACTGACAAGTGATCAATTTGTCAGTTACTCTCACGCATACGTTCAGAGGTTTTTCAGGTGTGTGCGCGGAGGTGTCCCACTTCACGGAAGTGAAGACGGGTTTTATTTGTGTAATAGCCAATTGCTTTTCGCCACATCATAAATTTAATTAGAATCACCAATTATCTAGAGGTCTTTGCTAGGGTGTTATCGTAAGGTTACTCCTTGTTTTTTCTGACCAATTATAATGATTTATGTACAGCACAGAAGGCTAAGTTCTATTTTATGTTGGTGTCGCAGTTATAAATTTATTTGGCATGCTCAGAAAAAAAAGCGGTTACTATCATTATTGTTAACCCTTAGTTAACCTAGTGCAGAAAAAAACCTGTTTTGAATGGTTTTACTTGCTTGTGACATGGGCACTACTTAATTTGGTTGTGACACCTGTCACACTTAAATGACAGGGAAACACCCATGAGACATGGATTGTCCCCAGCAAAAATGCTGTTTAACAGGCAACTCAAAACAAGGCTGCCAAATCTTGTGAATGATGCTCATCAGAATGAAAAGCAAGACGTGAAAACATTAAATCAACAAACCCAAACAAAAATGATACTATGACAGGGGTTCTGGGGAGTTACGACAGCTGCTAAACAAAGATATGGTGCTTATTTTAGAGGGACGAACATAGGAACAAAAA